ATACACACACACACACATATATATACACATCACAAACCAAAGCAATTTACTAATACTGGTAATTTGAGTTTGAGTACCAACATTTAGCTTTCATAATTACTGTCTTTAGTGCATTTAAATCTTCTGTACTTACCTAACTTTAGTATCTGAAAATAGCTAGGTACTTTATTGTAAAAACCAAGGAGAGGAGAGAAGTTTATTTTGACCATGTCTGGAAATCAGTCAAAGAAAAGCTGCACTGACTTCTACAAAAACAGCTTTGATGCTTATTATGCCTGATGCAAAACCAGTGAAGATGCTACACAATTTATTTCTCTTCAAAGGCTGTTTCCTTTTTCCAGTCCACACCATAAATTAGAAAATATGTTTGGTCAAGGAAACCTCATCCAAGTCATAGAGTACAAAAATATCATACTGTTTTTTATAACATTCACCAACTGCACGTTAAAAACAAAGCAAAAGAAAAAAATAATAAAAAGTTTTAAATTAAGTGGCTTGCTGTGATTTAGCCTTGAACTATTGTTGCATCAACGCAATTATTATAGTCAACATGCTCAATACTCAGAACTGTTTGGCTTTTATTCTAGCCTGGTTGTTTCCCATCAGTGTGACTTCTCATTTTGTGAGTGGTTTTAATATACATGTAAATGGTTTCAACTACATCATGCATGTGCAGATGCAGGCCTGTCAAAATTACGTTTACCCACTTTCTTTTAAGAACAAAAAAGGATATACAAGTAAAACTTCAAAGTAAAATCATTTTTTGGGCAGTGTAATACAATATATATGTATCTGTGAGTAGAAATTAAAAGGTCAATAAGAAAAAGGAGTTTTGGGTTTGACAGTGTTATTTTTGAATGTTTTTCCGAGTTATACGGATAATTTAATGCTTCGTAACACACAGAGATGACATAAAAGCAAAGGTGATCTAACTCAGAGGAATCTGCGGAAATAAAACAACAGGCATCATGGAATTATTAAGCTCATGCTGTGTTCAGCGCCCTATGACGCTACCTGGGAGAAAAGATTATATATAAATCTCTAAAAAATAACAGTATACAAATACTACTGTAGGGAAGACAACTGAAAGTCCACATTTTACAGTTTGTCCAGATCCACTTGTGTATAGCTGAACTTGATCCTGGATGGGGGTGATTAATAAACCAAATTTTATGGATCAGATTTAGAAACACAAACCGTTAATTAACCTGCTGACTATCTGACAAATCTAGAGCTGCTTCCTTTATCAGCGACCTACCGTTTAATTTTCCCTCTCTGCTGCTCCTTTTGTTGCAGCAGGTTTGAAGACTACATCAGCAAGAGAGCTAAAAATGTGCATGAATTACAATAATTTATCATATTCAGGCAGGTGCTTTAAAAATACACTGTCTGTGTTTTCAGATTAAATATGATCATCTATCATAAGGAACATATCTCTCTTTTAGTGTCAGTACCAGAAAAAGGCAGGATCTCAATTTGTCTCTGAATCTCAACTGCTCTGAAAAGGGGAACTGAAATGTTACATTTCATATAAGACTCATTAATAAAATTATTTCCACAGAAATAATCACTGATAAAAAAATTGTTGTGCTTGTGTGGCTGTCTTTGCCAGTTTTGATGGAATAATCACACAAATGTGGCGCAGTTGGTAGAGCTGCTGCCTCTCAACGAGCAGGTTGTCCTGGTTCAAATCCCGGTCCGGGAGCCTTTCTGGGTGGAGTTTGCATGTTCTCTCTGTGCATTTGTGGGTTTTCTCTGAGTACTCCCATTCCCACAGACCAAAAACATGCATGTTAGGCTGATTGGTAACTCTAAATTGTCTCTAGGTGTGAGTGAGAGAGTGAATGGTTGTTTGTCTCGATTGTCTCCATGTGTCCCTGTGATGGACTGGAGACCTGTCCAGGGTGTACCCCGCCTCTCGCACAGTGCTAGCTGGACATGGGCACCAGTGACCCCCGCGACCCAAAAAGGAAGAAGCAGGTAAAGTTAAATGATGTATGTCAAACTAATACAATTTTTTTTAAATAGATTATATGGTTTTATTTTATGTATCAACATATTTTGTTTTGTTTTTTATTTATTGTATCTTGTGATTGGAATTAGGTTTCTAGAATTTTATTGTTTTATTTCATTTGTTTTTAATGTGCTACATGAACAAATTTGATTTGATAACTAAGAAAAATGCACAAAAAATGAGTAACGTGTTGTTTGTACTGGTTACCTCTGGTTTCCATGGCAACTTCTTGTGATGCTGGATAAGGAACTTCCTGATGTGGGTGTGATCCCTTCCCACAGCCCCTCCAGTGATTGGCTCATCATCCTTAAAATAATAAAAAGACACAACACACTTAGTCTTCTACATAACGCAAATAAAGGAGGCAAATGATGTAATGATGAAAAAGAAGTCAAATTATTTGTTAATCCTAGTTGGAGTGGCTAAAGGCTGGTGTTATCTATTGTTGTATGTTCAAGAAGACATAATTGATAAATCTGTAAAGGTAATTTGGATTATTGTGTGTTGCATGAAACACAGAAACATAATTATTTCAATAAAAGCTGCAAGAACAGTGACCAAAGCATGACAGAGAACACATGCACACACAAACACATTAGGAAAGAGCAAGCCAAGAAAACAGAGGATTACATCCCAAGAGGAAATTGCTAACAGCCCGTGGATTGTCCTATTCATCATTCACTCCTAACCAAGTATTTGATTTGCCAAAGCACTAATGTCGACATTCTCCAACCACTGAGCCAAGACCCTCTCTCCAAGGAGCCTGAACTCCTCCCACAAGCCAGGAATTAGTCTGATGCTTCGTTCACGGTGCTGCTGCATGTTCTTCTCTGTGGTCTGTGCAATAACACGTTCAGGTTAGTGTTGTGATGCGACAGACAGGACAAAGCAGCGAGGAGGGCGAGTTATTGGGCTGCTACGAGGAGATAAAAGGCAGCTGGATGCCCCAGAGGAGGAACGAAGCCACAGTGCTGTTAAATGAGTGGCAAAGCATCCTCCATTTAGCAGAAATGTCAAAAGAAGCACAAGCACACCTCCACTGAGACAAGCAGCAGAGATTTTCAGCACCTCTGAAGGTGAGGGGCTTTTGTAGAGAAGGCACTGGTATTTGCAATAAATTCAGAGGAGGAAAAAAAGGGAAATTTTACAGGGAGCTGTCAGATGCAAAGCCTTTGATTACTTTTTTAACTTCCAAGGGAGAAAGATGAAGGAGGGCAGGGAAGGTAATGATGAAAAAATGTCACAACAGACTCCCATCCTCTCTGCCACCACAGGAGCATAACGTGCCTGATGTTTGTGAGCACCAAAAGACTCGCAAACAGCCTGGCTTTGCAACACACACACACACAGAAGCTTGCACACAGATCCACTCGATAACGGACAAAACATTCATATTGCGTCAGCTGATGTCTCGCTTGAAATAAAGACAAAAAATGAACAGAAAGAAAAGCCAGGACACAGCGGTCAGTAGAAAACAAAGCTGAGATGAATCACGAGGTGTTGACAAATCTCTGGTAAATTTCTATTTTCTGACATTTTTGTGGAGAAGATAATACGATGCAGAAGTTTTACGGCTTCATACATTCAATTACTTGTTTTTAGTTCAAAGCTCATCAAAAATTGAGAATATCGACAATCTTTTGATGGAAAGGTTAAAAAAAAGCATTAATATATATATAATTTAATATTCTAAATAAGGCTTTCCACTGTGTACAGTAAAATCTTGAATTAACTCATCATTAAATATTTACAATCTTCAGATCAGATGTTGCTTTGACCTATTTCTAAAATACAGTTAAGTAATTAAAGTTCATGCTCAATAATCCAGGTTAAAAATATCATCCACAAACTACCGGTGTTGCAGTTGATCTTGTTTCCATGAGCAAACCCAGGCCCTAAAACATGTAACTCACCAGGTATCCAACGTTTACTGTCAGAACAATGACAACTTGAATGATGATCACATATTATCCACTAAGACCTTTCGACTTGTAGTTAACAAATTCAATTTAGAAGAAAATATTTTTTAAATAGTTTACCCTGGAAGAACAACCTCCAATGTGTTAATAATGACCATTTTAAACTGCTGCTGTGAAGGGAATGTAATATTTATTGATCTGCTTCCTGATACATTCTATTTTATTTTACCACATTAATAACCCTGAGAGTTCATGGTTCGTCATCCCTTTATTTTGTTGATATTAGTTCCCCAGGACTCCTTGAGAGGTGCTTACAGCTGATATGATAATGTCTGGGCAGGACGAAAGGTGGGGGCTGCTGGAACTGTTACAGAAAGTTCCTAAAAAAAACAACAACTTTGCTTCAGGAAGCTAGAACGGGTCAAAAACTCAGACAAGACATAAATACTCCTGTAATGTATTGACTTTCTGTGGGTCTGGCTGTTCTCCAAAGCTTTGTATTAAATTTGATGAAATCTACACCTGATCGTTTGTAAATCGTTTTTTCCTACGACACTGCCTCAGCCTGATCCAAACAAACGCTGCTTTTCGGTGCAGTTCTACAGAGCTACAGCTAACTCATTGACCTGAGGTTGCTCTTCATCCTTCATCAACAGGATCTGTTTCCGTGGTAATGTGTATCGACGTGAAATTTCCAAGAGATGTTATTGCACTCCACACACCGCAAATAAAGTGCTTCCAACATTTTTTTTTTAAGCTGACTCCAGAATTACAATCTTAATTTACAAATGAAATAGTCATTTTGTCCAGCACAAGAAGACTGTTTTCATATTTCATCGATAATGAAAGCTGATGCTAACTGAGGCCTGTCGGATGGTATTAAACATTGCAGCCAGGCAAAAAGGGGAATATCAGTCATGCTGATGATATAGCTTGTCATATGTTTACAGCCCTATTTACCTTTTTGGGCTTTTACTCTGACCGAATGAGAAATTATTGTTGCCCGGAGAATATTTATCTCCCGTGGCAGTAGTGCATCAATGGCAATTCAACAACAAAAAAAAAAAAGACACACAGAAACAATTAACTAGAATAAGTTGTTTCAGGTTGGGAACGTTGTGTTAAGAAAAAAAAAAAAAAAGAGTGATTGAGTTGCTGTCCAGTCGGTGGCATACTGTCACTAAAATCCATCAAATGAGTCACTGTAGAGAGCGCTAGCTGCCCATTAGTTTCCTCCCAGACTCCCCGTGTTTACAGTTCAAATTTATGACCTTGCTGATTCTTGCAGTTAGAAACAGTTTGAAGCAGCATCGCAGAATACCAATGAGCATAATTAATTTGTTTTTAATAAACAGACATGAAATGTATGAGCAGGAAGTATGCAGGAGAGAAAGAGGCTGAGTAAGACAGGATGTCTTTAATTAATGTGCACTTTCTTCTTTTGAGCCTGTGTGAGGGTCTCTGCAGTGTTTTTGTGTCATTCATTGCCATGTTTGTACATTAACTGCTTAATGTTGTGCTCTGTCTCGTCAGCAAACTGCCACAATAAAGAGACAGGTGATTAAAGCTTTTCTTTAGTTTAAGCTGATCTCTTAATGTAAAGTTCTTTAAACAAATTGTGATCAACTAATATCTTACCTGCTGCAGATAGCGCTGACCATCCTCAGTTTGGATAAAAAAATAGCTTACAGTAGTCCCTCGTTTATTGAGGGGGATCCGTACCCTGAAGTCCAGCGATAAATGAAAACCGCGAAGTAGGGATAGTAGTACAAGTAGTAAGTAGTTTATTTCAGTATTACATGCACACACACACATATATATATATATATATATATATATATATCTATATATATATATATATATATATATATATATATATATATATAAAGGCGTTTTAAACCCTTCCCACACTCTTGCAATATTCTAAACAATGTGTCTAAACTCTATACGCTCTAAAAAAAGCACAGAATGTCATGATTTCCCTCTCTCTGCCTCCGCTGCTCTCAGCCACCTGCAAGCGTTCTTGGCCACGCCCACTTCTCCAATCTGCACGGAGAACAGCTGATCAGTTGCAGGAGGAAGCTCATCCTGCAGTGTGGGCTGCACAAAGGTGCAGCAAGTCCAATCTTATTTTGAAAAACCGCAATAAAGCGAGTCTGCGATAAACAAACTGCGAAGTAGCGAGGGACTACTGTAATTCTTACCAGACTGATGTTAATGATTGAACCCATGTTCAAACTTTTACAGTGCTGACTATTTTACATTATGTTATTGTTTTCACTTCTGTAACTATTTGCATGGGCCAACACTGGCTACAGCAGCTAGCTGCGGCATGTCCTGTGTAGCTTGAGGTATACTTCCAGCAAGAATATCATAACACACTCATTCTTTCAACAGCCGAAGTGACTGAAAAGATATCAGCAATGGCGACGTAGAAGAGCTGTTTGGACGGAGGTCAGAAAATGTTGAAGTTTTGGTACATGTTCAGATTTACTGAGTAAATATGCAGATAGAAAGGTATGTTAGGTTGAAAAGTAAACTGATGAGATTAAAAAAAGTTTGCAAAAATTGTGTTAAAATGACAAGCTCTGTTTTTACAGTGCTGCTATGCTTACTCAGTCATGTTTAACGGAAAAGTTACTCATATTTTTACCTAAACAGATTTTCTGAGATTTTACACTTGCTCACATTTCGCACATTTGCTTAACTGAACAGAGTAAAGCCAGCCTGATGAGTCAATTCAAAAAAGTTCAAGACAAAACAACTGGACTTTATTTGAATTTACCATGTCCTGATGACAGAGAATCTTCATCAGCGTATAGCCTGATGAGTCATGTGACTCAAGCTTCCACTTTTTTTCTTTTTTCAGAATTGCATATAAATGTATCTTGAAAAACATTAGATTGCACTCAATCTTCACCATTAGATATAGTTTAGGATAAACTTTTTGTATGTTTGATTGCGTACTTTGCAATGAGTACCTTTCACTGTTATTTTTCCACAGAACCCCTCTTCAAAAGACCCGAATAATCATTTTAACTACCTAAAACATTTTGTCTGTGATAATTTGTGGCTGTGAGTTGAGGACAGAAGGATGCAGAGCAGCAGAAAAACAGGAAGGTAATAAAATCCCAAAAGCACTGTAACAAAAAACAGTTCTGACAAAGTGCATTACAACAAATTTAGACTGATTAGGGAAGTTACCTACGATGACTAAGCACGAGTGGAAAAACCAGGAGCTTTCATCTATGGGGAGGCATGATTAGGATGTGATACATGAGGGGGATAAAGGTAAAAAAGTCCCATCCTTCCATTTCTTCAAATCTTTCACAGCTGTGCATTTCTTTTTCTCAGCTGAGCTCCTTCAGGTAGGTCATTTTGCACATC